GAATGAGTATCAATACATAATGGTTTAATACAACGACGACCATCACCTAATCGACGTTCAGTTTGATTTTCTAATGTTGCTTTTACAGTAGTTTGTTGAGGATGATGGCTATGTCCATTTCCATTTGTAATAGGTGTACTCCTACAATTAATATAAAGAATTGATTAAATTCATGACAAGAATCTATACTAACCCATTTGTAATTGTTTTTGTTGGAATTACTATATTAACTTTATACATATCACTATAAAATTTTGCCATTTCTGGTTGAGTTAATGGTGTACCTAATTCACCTTTATTAAATGTAATAAATGCACATGCACCATCTGGTGAACAAACACCAAGTGTAATTAAACCCTCATCTTCATTTAAATACCATGATATATCCAGTATACCCGACGCAAAAAAATCATTAATTATACACATAGGTTGTCGAGGACTTGTTAACCATAATGATAATGTTCGATCTTTACTACCAATTGCTAATAAACATCGACGACGACCATTAATTAATAAAATTCTTGGTAGAAACCTTGCACATGTAATTTCTCGACGATGACCAACGAATTCTGCATCAACTGTTGATGATCCACGTATAATACAAGCTGATACAGGAAATCTTTATTAATAGAAGAAAAAAGATAATAATAATAAAATAAAATAAAATATAATCATTTACGTATTATTTTTTGCATGAGCTGTTGTAAACATTGTACCATCTGGTGACCAATCAAGTCGAAGAAATGATGTTGATTCTGCGCAACCATCAAATGGTTCTTTAATTGTTTGTTCACATTTCCATGTTGTACTTGACCATACTTTCACTGTTCCATCGGATGATTGTGATGCTAATAGAAGACCAGTTGGATCCCAAGCTAATCCTTTAACTAAACCTGTATGACCACGAAGAGTTGTTGTTAATACAGCTGATGGCCATGCATAAATGCATATATGATTATCAATTGAACATGATGCTAAATAACGATCATTTGGTGGACACCATGCTATATCTAATACATCAGCAACATGTCCTGTTGATAGACTTGAACGAAGACGCCATGTTTCGGGGAAATCACCAAATGATGATGACGACTGAACTGGTTCTATTGAAATTTTAAATAAATTAAAATATTGTTTGACTCACTTACGATTAGTTACATTTGGATTTGTTGCTGTTAAATGATAGAGAAGAACATTTTGACGACTAGCAACAGCTAATATATCATTTGTATATGAAAATCGAACACAAAGTGGACATTGTGTATCAATACGACAGAGAAGTCGAGCTTGTGTTTGATAATTTTCATCAAGTATTGATGCAAGACGAAATATACGTATACAATCAACAGCATTATATTTACCAGCTAATGCAACACGAATACCTTCAGGATTAATATGTAATGATGAAAGACTTTCTTTTGGTCCATGTTCAATCCATTCTGGTTTTATTAATTTCATTTTTCAAATAAAAATTCAATAGCTACATGAAAACAAAAGTCTTGAATATTTCAATAGTTACCCAATCATACGTAAACTGTTGAACATTCAATATTCAATGGTTAATCAGAAAGCAAAATAATATTCCGGTGATAGATGGCAGTAGTAGGCAGACAAAACATTCTCTCTAGCTATCGTAATACTGCAATTATCAGATTAATAACATTAGTATGTTCATTCTATTCATGAGTATTTGTATTTGATTATTTAAAATACATATTATGGTACAATATAAGCTCTCGTTAAAACTTTTTATCGGTAAACGATGTGAATTATGTGCAAATAGACAATCTGAAACTATACATTCCTAATCTAGTTTTTGACAGATCGAATGTCTTACTAATAAATCTATTGAAAAAAAATAATCATAAATTTCAATTTTATATAATCGTAAACGGATTGAGATATTGAGTAACGATTAATAAATAAAAATTTTCATCGTAGTCTTCAAAATCAATTATCAAACAAAAGTTTTTTTTTTTGATTTTGTTCTATTTCTAACTAAATTTGAGAATGAAGTAAAACGAACCGTCTCTTCGGTGTATTTTTTCTTGATATTATATTTGATTTTGAATTCTCAATTGCTTGTCATGATATCAATAACAACACTCAATAGATGTTTATTAGGTAGATTTAGATTAAAAAGTCGTTTATTTCATTTCGAAAATAATGGATACCAACGATGTACAACAACGATTATTATCAGGTAAATATGTCACCATTTTTTCGGTACATAGTTTTATTGTCCAGAAGAATATTGTAATTTCAATATAAGATTTTTAGATAAATATTCAAGTTTTTGTTCAGATTAAATAAATCAAATATTGAAAATAGATTTCTAAAATATTTATTATGACATTCATGTCATTTTCTTTGAGTAGGTTGAAAGATAATATATATGTATATGATATAATTGTTATTACTGTTTATCAAGATAGTTAACATATAAACTTTTTTTCTTTATTTCAAGCACCGTTGGCTGTTTTTGACGAAGATTTTGAAGACTATCAGGAGAATTTTATAAATATAAAAAAAAGATTTACTATGAACCGGTTATTTAATACAAAAGTAGATCATGATAAAGATGATAACAATGGCTACAAACATGCTCTTCGTGACGGTCATCGTAAAAAATCAACAGCATTTGCTGTTATTAGCCCACGATTAAGTATACTTGAAAAATATACAAATGCTCGTATTGTACGAATTCGATTGGTATTTATACATATTGGTAAGAAAATTAAATCTACTCTTATAAATATTCTATTTAACTGATATATATAGGTGAAATTGATACATTAAATGAAAAATATCAAGCTGATATCTATTATGAAGCAAGATGGATGGAAAATAACATGAATATAAGTACATTAAATTTAACAGCGCAACAACAACAAACATTATTATCAAATGAAAAAAACGTGACAGTGAAAATGAATGAATTTAATTCAATTGTTCATTGGTCACCACAATTATTTATTGAAAATGCAATAGGACAAATTGGTGAACAAGAAAAATGGTTTACTATAAAGAAAATGGATCGATTATCGGCAACACATTTGATTAATGCTGAAATTTGTGAACATCGTCGTATCAAAGGTGTTTTTTGGGAAAAATTAGAATTAAATCATGTAAATAAGAATTTATTTTTCTTGTATTTATTTCAATTATATAATTTATATTTAGTTTCCAGCTGATGTACAAGATTTAACTATTTCAATAACAAGTCATCATCATATAGAAAATTGTGTACTTAAACAAGATAAACAATTACGTTCATCTATAAATCGTGAAGCATTTTTTGATCAACAAGAATGGTCTTTATATGAACATGTTGCAGCTGAAATACGTGAAACAAAGGAAGAATATTCATTTGATGGTGATCAAAATGAAGGTTTAGAACAAAAGAGACATCCGGTACTTGCAATTGCTTGTCGTGCAGGTATTTATGTTAATTTTATGATTTCAATTACAGTTTCTTTTTGTTTAAAGCTCGTCGACCTGGTTATTATTATTGGAATGCATTTTTTCTAATATTGCTTATTACTATCCTTGCATTTTGTATTTTTTCAATTTCACCGGAGTAAATTATTTCATCTACAAACTATTTTCTTTCATTAATATTTTTAGTTTACCTCAAAATCGTCTTCAAATAACTTGCACTCTTCTATTAACTTCTGTTACATTTCGTTGGGTTGTTAATCGATCACTAGTAAGTTAGTTTATTTTATTCATTTTATATCTTATTTTTGATAATAGCCACCAGTTTCCTATTTAACAACTCTTGATATTTATGCAATTATATCAATTGTTATACTTGTTGTACTTTGTGTATGGCATTCTATTATAGCATCAGTTATATTTCTTAATCCATTGTCAGTAAAAATACTTCAACCATCAAATTATTATGTTATTATTGATCGATATGTTTTTATTGGTCTTTTTGTTATGTATATTGCTATACATATTGCATTAATTCTATGGCTTATATCTGGTCCATATAAACGACGACGAGCAATGGAACATCTTGATCGCGAATATGCAGCTATGAAATATATTCAATTAGATACACGGCAAACACGACAAAACTCAAAAAATGATTTATTAGCGCATTCGTCATCAGCAAATTTTGATATTTTACCACCATTAAAATCTGTTCGAACAAGAAGATCATCAGATGCTGTTACAGTAGTACCTAATGCTTCAACATTTATTCCTATTCCAGAAGACGTTAATAAAATAAGAACAAAATCTATGAATGTATTCGAATTATATGAACAAGATGATGAATATTATGATCATACAAATGATATCAATAATGAATTAAAATCAAAACAAATAACATCTAATGAAAAATTTTAATTTATTTGTAAATAATAGAATAATGGGAAAAACTATCTTAAAATAAAAATTTCTATATTCTAATAATGTTTTTGCTATTTGAATTTTGTTTTGAAGATTTAATTTATTTTTTACGTGCTTGATTTGGATCAACACCAGCTGCATGAGCTAATTCAACCATGGATTGCTCTGCTTTAATCTTTTTTTCTGCTAGTTGATCAATTGCATTTTGTGTAACACGATTGATTTCATTATCTCGTACATGTTCTTCACTTGTTTTTAATGTATTATAATGAATACGTCCATAAACAAGACCACCAAGTAATAAACTCCAACGACCAGCACGAATCAATGGAGAAACATTTTTTGGTATTGATGCTGCCATTTTTATATTCAATCACAATCTAAAATAAATAATATTTGCGATAAAAAATCATGTAGATTATTATAAGACTACATTTTTTAGCGTTTGTTGTTTTCATATTGTTAATATAAAAGTAAGACGATTGGTAGAGTGTATAAACCAATCATAAGTATTTCATATGGCGCATGAATTCCAGTATGCATGCATACATACGATTAGTTTCTTTTAAATACATGTACGAAAATAATTACGACTATATTGTACTTCAATATAACTATTTCAAAAATTCTAAATAAGCATATACGAACTGTTATTGTATAAATAAACTTATATGATCAAAATTCGCTTTAAAACTGTCGATTCTCAAGATGTAGAATTTTTAATATACAATAGTTTAATGATTTTACTTGCTATTTATCGTCAAGACACGATGCCATGTTATTAAATAAAATTGAAAGTTACGCTAAAAGTGATCACAACGATAACATGAAAATCTTTTATGCTATCCTAGCAAATCACGCAGTGAATGAAGGAGCTATCATCGAGAATTAGTCGAATTTCTAATTTAATATACTTTCAAAATATAGCTTACATTAATTCAGCAGATGAGTTCATTTAAAACGATAACTTAAACTAACATATGTCGAAAGAACACTGCTGATTTATTATCTATTATTAGCTACTTTTTCAGGCGAAGAACATTTGTTGTAATTATCTCGAAATTTTAAATATAAAGTTCATAATCAAGATTGTATTTTTCAGTGCTTTCTGTAAACGAATAGTATCGATTCGATGTCGGTATTTTAATATCATATTTCAACCATTATTTTGCGAATCTCCATTCTTAAAATCATCGCAACACAAAATGATAATTTTGAATGCGCATATCCAGCATATAAAGAAAGAAAACTCATGACGAACTTTTTAACAGATGCTTCCCACCAGATTGGGTGAGAGTGTGTGGGTCATATACATCTACACCTACATTCACATCCTAATACAGTTCATTTCAAACTTTTTGAAAGAAAAGAAGACCTTCATGTCAAAAAAATCAAGACGCTAAAGGGTTGAAGTCAATAGACTAACAAACAGAATGGTAGGTGTGGATGAGTATGAATGTGCACATCTCTTGCTTATTCATACCCAGATCAATGCCCACTCATCCTCCTCCATTCGACACTCACATCACATCCTCACCCACACCCTTAAGATGCTTTTCTGTATATGTGTGGTCAAAGCTATCTGAAGAGACTTTGAAATAAGCCGAAATGTGTTGTAGTAGATACTCGAAACGATACTCACCCTCAAGATAATTCCAACTTGAAATTATCTTGTAAACTCATTCTTTATGTGGACAAATCATATATGGTATATAATTTTTATTGAAATTCATATGATAAAGATTGATGTAATAACATATGGATTGAAACTATGGATAGTGTAAGAAAAATTGTAAAGCGAGAAAGTACGATAAAGAATAGTAGATGACAACAAAACACCAAAAATCATACAAAAATTCGTAAATCTGTTATTTTTCTTTGCCATTTTTTTATAGAAATCATTTTGAAAATACTTAATCTTCAGTTTTGTTTAGATGTTTCTGTAAAAATGTAATGTTTGTTCTATAGGGATCCAAAAATTTAATTGTCATTTGAGTTGGAAACAACTTCTGAATTTCGAAAAACCTTTGGCTTAATGATAGCTCCCATGACCAAAGTTCCACGCTCCAATCAGCTTGCAATGCTGTCTCTACTGTGGTCGGAAAACTCGTCTGACCAGAATTTTTATTTCCATCGCCAGTAATTAGAACAAGAACTTGTTGTCTAGTCCTAGTATCAGGATTCTGCAAAAGGATGTTAAGAATTTGAGCGTGTAGCATATCGTCCACGAGGCTTTCCTAGAACAAAAAGAACCAATATTTTAATATAATAATTGTCAACAATACGACTCACTTTATTTTTCATCGACCGATCTCCCAGTATACATTTATAACCACAAGATTCCCATTTTGTCCAACAAAGTGCCTTTTCCGGTGGTTTACTTCCACCAACAACACGTGTTCTTACATTTATGCTTACTTTATCCCCTTCAAGTACTTTTGCAAGATTGTTAACATCTACACGAATAGCTAGATTCATGTGAGGCACTCCAGTTTTTTCATTACGTATTGTTTGAGCACCAAGAAACACATTTGAATTATCAATAACAATATGATAATCTTTTAGTGTATCCTAAACAACACATATTTAAAAGATATAAAAGAAAAAATAAGATTGTAGAAAATACATTTAAAACTTTTAAAGATATTAGTAAATCAATATGTCAACATCATAAAGTGATCTATAGTTATATTTTAAACATTATTAGACGTATGGGGCTGTCTCGACTTATCATTGAACAGATAATACTTTAGGACATAAGTAAAGTGCTGTACTCTAGCTATAGAATGATCTAAAAGTTTCGACTCCTCTTTGTAAATCAATGATATCTATAACAAACTTGTATAAAGTTATCTATCAAATTATGTCATTTTGTAGAGGAAGAGAAGAACTATCACACGGAAAACAAATAGTTTCAAATACATAGTTTTATTATGATGTTACAGTCATTTAACTAATCTTAAACAAATATTCTCGTGTTACACTTTTCAAGAATTACAAAAAGATCTTTTTTAAATAACAGTACGTTTCTTAAAACTTATATTTCAATAGAACACCATTTGCTCCATTGTCTGAAAGAAAGAGTCTTACACTGTAAAAAGAATGTATGTATGTTTGTCTGTCCAAGTTAATTAGAATTTAACACAACTTTTCCTCTGCTTTTATTCAGACGAGCCATGGACATACTCTAGCTATTTAGTAGTTGTTACAGGTTATCTTTAATGTGCTCCGAACAATCTCATGTTTCATGTCGATAATAGTGGAAACTTCACTTTAATGAATCAGATTCAATGATGATTTTTTCCATGAATAATAATAATTGACCGAGTTTCGAACTGAAATCCGAAGGGACTGAACAACACTAACTATGTTGAGGGTGAGGTGAAGGTGTGAACACTCAAACAGAGCATCTCTGTTATGAAGAATGTGAGCGGAAGTATACAGATAGCAATCAAGGACTGTTAAATCTTAGTAGGCCCTGATAGACCCGTTATAGCTCTTTTATGAACTTCTATAAACTGGTATAGATCTTATAAGCGAATCTTCCATATAAATAAATGTAAAGATTTTGAATTAATTTATAATTCATTTCGCCCATAAACTCATTTTTTTGCAAAAATTGTTAATCTGGGCGATTCCTCATGACATGAAAATAACGCTGAATATATTGAATACAATTATGGAAATTTTTCCTACAATTAATGTTGATTTATAATTGGATGATATGTTTCATAGATTGTCAGAAAACTCTTTTAAAATGAAAGTGTAGGAGATAAAAAGTGATATTCAGAATATAACACATATTAAAAGCAGAGAATGCATCTTCACAGAGGCATTGTATTAGCTGAAATCTTCATGCAGATTGGTACAATAACTCTGTGTGTTTCCAAGAATATCTATGTTTTATGAAGCATCAGAGGGATAATTTTTTCTATATTTCAGTAAATCTTATGTCTTTCACTTTAATATTTAAACGAGCTTCCAGCGAATAAACTAAGGACATATAATTAATCATTCGGAAGTTTACGTACTGATTTTGATCCGGATGGATTTGGATCTTTTGGCAGAAGTTTGGTTATTTTTCTTAATACAATTGGACGATCACTCTCCGTATCCGATGGAACTGGTTCTCCAGGCCCTAGGTCCCGATTTCGATAATGTGCTTGATATTCATTTTTGCGGCCTTCTCTGTTGAGTGCCACTCTTGTTAGATCATCAATGATGGAAGTGCAATCCAATGTTTCTCTTGTTGCCGGACATCCTTCAAATTGAACCCAAATCTTTATTTCAATTGACTTGGGCGGACTGTTTGGTTTTGATCCTAAAACATACAGACAGAATGTAAACCGATGAACCGTACTTGTTTTAACTCTCAGTCAGAAAAATGGTAGATATGACGTGGAAGAAGGGGAGATATAAAATATTTGTAATTATAAGCAGTTTCGAAGTTTTCGAGTACCACTCGAATGGTTGTAAGAAGGCTTGAGATGGGGATGCAACAAACTCAGTTTCAGTCAAATGCAATTGCAATTCCAGAGTTGGAATTCGATTTAGTTTTTAAAAAATTGTTAATTTATATAGACTTATACATTAGTAGTGGTTGTAAAACAATTAAATTCAATCGAATTCAAGAATTAAATTCAGTGCATCCCAGGCTGAGCTTACATCCATCTCCCTCTGGATATGTCACTATAGTGTAGTTACACAGTTGAGGATGTGATGTGGGTGTAAGTGAAGGTGTGGGTCTTACTTTAACTAACACCCACACCCACACCCACCCGATATCATAATAATTTTTGTCTTTTGAGAATGTTTACTACCTGAGGTTTTCGATGATGGTGCTGATGGCGGCGTTGGCGCGAGTTTTCTATTATTTGTCACTTCTGTTTTCCTAACAAAAATTTGAGCATTATTTAAACTTTGTACGCGTGTTCCTAAAATATACATTATAATATGTTCTATTCATTACCATTTCGGTTTCTACTCGTACTCACTGTTGCATTTTTCGATTGCTTTCTTTACGGATTCTTCTTTTTGAAATGTAATTGCTGCTGTGCCATTCAATTGGTATTTGTTGTCTACTCTTTTAAACAAATGAATACATGGTTTTGCTTGTTGATCGATCTAGACATGAAATATTGAAATTGAAAATATACTTGGTGGAATTTTTATTGTTATTACCTTGATTTCACCAACAGTTGTAAATTCATCCAATAATGTATCGAACAGACTTTGTTCGGACATATTTACCGGTAAATCAGTGATAAATATTTGTCGATCCTCATTATCACCAAATTCGGCTGAAGTATTAGTGTTTTCAGTCTCAATGCTATCATTGTACGCTTCTGGCTTGGGATTTTGTGAATTTCTTAATGTCACTTTTGGTAGCGACTGAAGTATTTCGAGAATAGCAAAATTAACTCGTAATGAATTAATCTGATTTCGCTCAAGTATAGTTTTATCCAGAGGACAGATAAAATCACCTTTAGTGCGCGAAGCGGCGTTTTGTATGCATCCAAAACAATATGTGTGCATACAAGGCAATAAACGTGGATCAACAAAGTGTCGAAGACATATGCCACAGGTCACTATGTCCTCAGCTTGCCCGGTTTCTTTCATTGTTGAAGGTTTTGAGACCATACCGAAGCTTATTACTATGCAAATCAAATGATAAATGACTCAGTAAGATGAGCGAAAATCTAAAATTAACCATAAAATTTATTACAAGATATACGTACCGAACTGGTATTACACACCCAGAAGAGTGTGGGTGTGAGCATGGGTGGATGTGGGTACGTGTAGGTGTTTCCAGTCTCCCGATCTCATACTCACACCCACACCATGGTATACCCTAGAGAGCCTACTCTATACCACAGTATACCCCAGTAGATCCTAGAAACCCTACTATATCCTAATAGATCTCGAATTATTTTAGAACTCACTTTTTTTGAATTATTATGTAATTTACTTCCGTCATCTAGGGTGGGGTGCGGTGGGTGTAGATGTGAGTATAAGATGAGGAGAAGGAACTTTCACATTCACAACCACTCTCATACCCATACCCTGGGAAAAGACGATACGGCGATGGAAAAAGTATATGTAAAGTGAATGTCGAGCGAGAAAAAGAATGAAATTTGAAAATTCATCAAGAATACAAGAGAGCAAATGTATAAAAGTGCTCGCTTTTACATATAAAAAAGAAGAAAGAAGAAACCAAAAACAAAATGAATAATGTGGTAAAAAGAAAAAACTCACGACAGATAAAGATGATTAAATGTAAGTATGAAATCCTTAAATAAATAAATCTGAAAAAGTGAATGTTGATAAAAATATTGAATATAAGAAATACAGTGGGAAAAAGAGTCATGCTAGTTGATGTTGATAAAATAATGCAACGAAGAGAGAAATCCATAAAAACTGGGTGTGGGTGACGGCGTCGGTTTGTTATGTTTATCAGACATGATATACTCTCTTGTTTTATACATCTATTTGCACTCATACTTCTCTCACTTTTCCCTCTTTCTCACACATATATATCCCACTTTATCTTCCATATATACTTTGGATGTTTTATACATTTCATCTCGTACTCTTCTTCGTTCTATATCATATACACATTTTTCTTCGTTCTATATCATATACACATTTTTCTTCGTTCTATATCATATCCACATTCTTTTTTCGTTTCATCTTTTATAATATGGCTTTGCGCATGATGATATGCGCTTATGACATACTTCACTTATTGTTTTTGCATTCATATTCGTTCTTCCTCTTGTTGTTTCTTTTATTTATATTCATTCTATTCTTTGTTTCTTGGAATATACACGATGAGACATACATTATACGGTTTGAGTGTGGAAGAGAGGTGGATGAAGATGTGGATATTTTGACTGTTATAATAATTTCTACATCCTCGCCACCCTCATTCACACCCACACCCAGTTTTTATGGATTTCTCTCTTCGTTGCATTATTTTATCAACATCAACTAGCATGACTCTTTTTCCCACTGTATTTCTTATATTCAATATTTTTATCAACATTCACTTTTTCAGATTTATTTATTTAAGGATTTCATACTTACATTTAATCATCTTTATCTGTCGTGAGTTTTTTTCTTTTTACCACATTATTCATTTTGTTTTTGGTTTCTTCTTTCTTCTTTTTTATATGTAAAAGCGAGCACTTTTATACATTTGCTCTCTTGTATTCTTGATGAATTTTCAAATTTCATTCTTTTTCTCGCTCGACATTCACTTTACATATACTTTTTCCATCGCCGTATCGTCTTTTCCTATTAAAACTGATAGTTGATCACGGTTCTTAGAAAAAACTACGGAATCAAGTGGTTTCGACATTCTTAAGTACTATTTTTCTCAGTTTTTTATATTAAAAAGATTTTCTCTATTTTTTTGAAATTTGGTCGACCCCTACATAAATAATAATGATAAACTAAGTATGCTTGTGGCATCTCTCTATTTTCTGTGATAATATGATCCCTATTAATACAATTCTGAAAGTAATTTATAATCAGTATGTTTATTTTATTTCAGATACAAAGCAATCATCGATTTTTTACTACTTTCTGTCACGATTTATTACACATTCGTTATTCAATCAAAGGAATTACGTACTTTTACGGTAAGCAGAATGAATTGTTATAAGTGATGAATTGTTCGGCGCATTACATCGAGTCTTTTCTTAAGTACATCTTTCTCTTTCATATTTATATTTTACATATATATTCTAAAAACGGGGTGTGGGTGTTTCTGCTCCTCATCTCATATTCACATATACACTCAGACTCTCATTCACATCACACCCTCAATACTATAAGATACTTTCATTAGTTCTTCATGAAACGAGCGCAGTATGTATAGATGAGCCTTTCGTAACTATTCTAGTAAACTAAAGAGTAAAATGCAAATATTTTTACTTAGCAATCTGTGATAGCCTTTCAGAATATTCCTATTTAATTAGGGATGTGCCGAACCCGAACCTTTCATAAATCATATCTTAAAGTTTTCAACGATTATATTTTCTTTTATAGATCAATCAATTTTAATGGCAAGTTCTAACACAGATCATTTGTCACCTTTTATGTCACAATTGACAGAAACAATAACGTTCGATGTTAATATAAACGTGATGCAAAACTCAGAGTTTCAAGAATTTGTTAAGAAAATAAAAGATTCGCAACGCGTCATCATTATCATGAATGAAACTCATGAAATGTTAATCATTAACGGAAAGAAATCAGCCGTTAACACTTCACAAGTACAAATTCAAAATAAAATTCGTAAATTATCGGTCATATCAGGAAAAGAAAAAGCAAACGGCCCTGAAAATGACCCACGTGGTTCAAGTGGTAGTTCTATTGATCCAAAGTTATGCGATACAATTCAATTTAGCATAGCTACAACTGATTTCCTGGTAAATTTTGGCCAAAAAATACTAAATACAATCAAAAAAGAATTAGGTATTAACAACGCACGTATTATAAATGGTAAATTAAAATTATTTGGAAATAATGTTGCAATTACAAAAATAAACTCCTATCTTGAAAAAGCACTTTATGTAAAAAAAGCGTCAATTACTCATGGCATGAAACAACACCTGGAATTAAATTGTAACGGACGCCTCTGGAAAGAATTTTCAAAAAGACATCATGTAGGAACTTCTTTCGAAAACGCAAGATTACATAAGAAAAATAACGGTAACAACAGCCAGATTAAAGATTCTTCTTGTAGACGGCAAAGACATCATTCTGGCGGTGGCCCGCATGGTTTTAAATCGAATAGTACCAGTCGTGATGTAAATTTTAGTCCGGATCGTCGAAGCGGAGGTGAACGAAGAGGCAACTGTAACCGTGATCAACGTGAAGGAAGAAGATTTCATGACGATCAATCAATGCGAAATAGTATTCCAGGCTTAAGAAACTTGAACTTGAATGACCATCATAAAAATACATGTAAAAGAGATATCGATGATCTCGGACAAGGTAACAGAAGAGAAAGATACAATGCCAAAAATACAGAATATGAAGATGAAACAAATCAAGAAGAAGAATATAATAATGATGGTAATGATAATGATTATGATGATGATGATGATGATGATGATACAAATAGTCAACTCTCAGATTCTGATATATCGTTGTCATCAAATTCTTCAATTAATAGTTTTAATACGGATGATGTTCATGATCGTGCTCAACAACCTGTTGAAATAACATTGTGTAGTGATTCTGAAGTTTCTTTATCTAACGCCATAGCAGAACTACAAAGTTATTCTTTTAGCATCAAATCTTGGGTATTATCAGACGAAGAATTAACATTTATTTTAAAACAACAACAACGAGGCAAACCTCCACGAAACAGCATTTCAATTAAAGACCGATCTATGCAGATTAAGTTTTACCTTCGTCGTTTGATACAGAATCCTTTCCTGCATATCTTTCTATATTTCACAAGAGGTATATGGCATGTGAACGTGAGTGGATTTAAATCAGATGTTCATTTCGCAGTATTGAAAGTTAGAGACTATTTAAATGATGTAGTTGATAATGAAGTACACATTCCTATATCAGGAGCGATGGCATCTTTTCTTAGAAAAAAAGCATCTTCTTATATTAACCGACTAAAAAATCGTCTCAATATCCAGATCATCATCTTTTCACCGTTTCGTCGTAATGATAATACTAATGAAGATGATAATGATAATCATTGTTTAAAATTGATAGCTCCTGTTTCACGTATTCATTTGGCACAAACAAAAATTGAAACTTTTTTGGAAAATTTATTCGAACAACAACAAGATTTTCCGTGTGACACGTGGGATATTTCAAAGATTATTTCCGAAAATATTATTACATTTCTGAAAAAAGTTTACAATTCAGATGATTATGATGCAATTGGATTCGTTAAATTCTATAATTCATCCATCGAAAGACGACAAACAACACCAAAGGTTACTATTACAGTGGTTGCTTTAAATGAAGAAATGGCAGATAACGTCATTCAACAATGTAAAAATCTCGTTGAAGGGTATTATGTATGGCAACTATCTTTGGATGAATATCGAACCCTGCACAACATATTGTTAGTGCAAAGACGACCGGGTATTACTCAATTGAAACAAGAATGGAACACTAACGTCCAGCTTGAAGATGAAACCAACACTATTGTTATTCCTGCACGATCAAAAATGATTGCAGATGAAATCAAAGACACTCTGCGGAATTTAGCTGCGGGAAAACCAAATCGAATCGCTAGTATTTCAATAACTATTCCTATTCACCTCAATATTCGTCGTTTTGTTTATCAAGCTATTCAACCTCTACTTGACGAAGTTAAAACAAAAAGAGTTTATATTGACTCAAAAGATCGAAATGGACTAACGCTTCACGGTCGTTCTGAAGCTATTAATTCAGTTCAAGACAAAATCAACAATATTATTATAGATATTAAACAAAAACTTGTTACAAATCGTTTTAAATTACCGTTTGTCGAATCGGAATTACTTCGAGGTAATTCATATGATATTCCTAGACGTATCGAGCGTGAAACTAATACTGTCATTCGAGATGTTAAAATAGATATGAAAAGTTTAAAATCAAATTCAAATGATAATGATGGTACCAATTTGACTCTTACATGTGTTGCAAATAGTCGTGGTCAAACAATTCTTGTTAAGAAAGGTGATATTACTAAGATCAACGATATTGATGCCATTGTAAATGCCGCAAATGGACCTCTGTATCATGCAGGAGGTGTAGACAAAGCGATTTGTGATGCTGCTGGTCGTGCACTTGATCAAGAATGTAAAGAACTAATTGCTAAAAATAGAAATCTACCAATACTTACTGGTACTGCAGTTAAAACAACAGCTGGTTACCTCCCTTATAAAGCTGTTATCCATGCCATTGGTCCTCAATATGCTGATGGTAATCAACAAGAACGTTCGTTATTATTTTCCAGTGTCTTGTCCAGTTTACGACTTGCTGAACAAGAAGGTTATAATAGTGTAGCATTACCAGCCATCAGTGCTGCTACATACGGTTTTCCATTACAAGATTGTACAAATATTCTGATTCGTGCAATAAAACAATTCTTTGCTGATTTTCCACAATCAAATTTGAGAAAAGTAGTTTTATTAGATATTGACGATATCGCATGTAATTCATTTGCACGTGAAGTTATACATGATCACACAAATGCAAATGCAAACAATGATGATGATATTACGAATTGTAATTTACCACCGCTAACGGCTCGATGGTGTTGGCTAGATGATGATGGCGAAAAAAATTATGATGACAATCATATGCGCCAAATCGAAGATGCATTACAACAACATTTGCGAACTTCTATTCCATCGACATTGATACTTGATTGCGATAATTTAAAAACTGGTAAAATTGTACGCTATCGTATCCATTTTCTTCGTAATTTAAGACAAGTATTAACAATCAATCCATCTGCACTAGCTAATCGTTTTGTATGTGGATACCAAAAGAGAGAAAGTACTAAGGTTAAACGAGATATTATTCGCTATCCGTTACCAATACAACCAAAAACTACATCTGTCGCATATAAACCCAAACCATTGGATACATATCATTTAAATGTCCAGTCTAGAGCAGACGATTGGGATATTATTGGTATTACGAATGTAGAAGTAACACAAGCAGCGAGTGCGATTAAAAAAGCCATTGAATCTGCTACTATTTCGGAACCTTTTTCGATAAATCTAAGTGAAGATATTGATGCTCATAAGACAGCAATTAATAATATTGCTATTCAACAATCCATTAAGGTTGATTTCAGACAAGATTCTACTGGAAATTTATCATTGAAATTGAATGGTTTACAACAAAATGTATTACAAGCAAAATTACAAATTTCTTTATATGTACAAGATATCTTGAGAATGGAAGCTGATAAAGATAATGAATTAAATATACCCAACGAATGGGGCGAACAAGAAGAACAATGTAAATTAGTTGAATTACCTAAAAATCATCCTGATTTTATTCGTATCGAAAATCGAATGAAAGAGACAATCAGCAATGTGAAAATTGATAAGATCGAAAGAGTACAAAATTTAAGATTATGGAATCATTATGCATTTCGTCGGCGAACTCTTCGACAAGAATTAAGTGATAAACCTGATTTACAAATTGAAATGGAATTATTTCATGGCACTCGCGCGACACTGCCTAGTGAAATTTTTAATGGTGAATGTGGCTTTGATTTGTCCTATTGTACAAGTGGTTTATGGGGTCTCGGCACATATTTTGCAATGAGTGCTTCATATTCCTGTCAAAGTTATTCTTATGGACTGGCTGACGGTAAACGCCAAGTATTTCTTGCTCAAGTATTAACAGGAGATGTTTTTGATTATAAAAACAAAAATGATCCAACATTACGTCGAGCTCCGAAGAAAAATGAAAGTATATCTGGTGGCAAACGTTACGACAGTGTATTAGGAGAAACAGGAGGGAGCAAAGTCTACATTGTATTCGAAAATCGTGTCGCTTATCCAACGTTTTTAATTACATTTACTCAATGATGATTCGATTATTTGTATTTGATGCTTGATCAATTAAATTCTTTTTTTAACATAAAATAGTTTCATTTTAATACTTATATTGAATAAAATATAACAAAAGAATTTGCTTTATTTTCCTAATGAGATATGATATAGCTTTCTTTGCAATAGTGATACTAAAAGATTCTCTAGACTTGTGATAATAGATTTTGTAGAAGAATAAAAGAACTGATGAATAAAACATTATCATTCTTTATCCATAAGAATGTCTATCAAATGACATAAATATGTGCAGTACACTTGTTGTTTTACATTCATCTCTTTCATCAAGTGAAAATAATAGATGAATAAGGGTGTAGGTGTGGGTAGGTGTGAATGTAGGTACTATTTCTATTTGTAATTAACACCCACACCCTTTTAGATTGTTCTCTTTCACAATCACTATTTAAGGTAATATTTTTTTTCTTTATCTTATGACTGGGAACACTCTCGTTAAGAATTAGAAATGCAAATATCTCTGAAAAGGTAATCGATACACATTCGTGTGTATGTATATTACCCTATCAGTTGGCTTTGTGCATAACGTTTGTATTAGTTACAGAGTTGTTCTTTGCACACTCGTACGAAGTACTAAAAAATAGAATTAATCGAAAAACAAGTGCACACAATCTTCTCTTATATATTTATGAATTATTCTTTAAAATTTCTTCTTTTACAACTTCAATACTCTCCTTTACATCTTTAATATCAGGATGAGTTGGAGGTAATCTTCGCTGTTTTATGTCCAGAGCACGTTCAAAATATGACAGTGCTTTCGAATAGTCTTTCATATTTCTATAAACCCAGCCGATGTTGTTGTATGAAGTAGCCAAATCAGGATGATTTGAAGGAAGAATTTTTTGAGAAATTTCAAGGTCTTTTTCGTATAATGAGAGTGCTTTCGAGTACTGTCCTGTTTGGGTATATACATTACCGATGTTGTTGTATGAAGTAGCCAAATCAGGATGATTTGCAGGAAGAGTCTTTTCTCGGATTTCAAGTGCTTTCTCTTGTGATGAAAGTGCTTTCAGGTATTCTCCCATCTTTTCATACACATTACCGATGTTGTTATATAAATTAGCCAAATTAGGATGATTTGAAGGAAGAGTTTTTACTTGAATTTCAAGTGCTTTTTTGTATAACGAGAGTGCTTTCGAGTACTCTCTCATGTTCTCGTACACATTACCGACGTTGTTATATGAAGTAGCTAAACTAGGATGATCCGAAGGAAGAGTTCTTAGGAAGATCTCAAGTGCTTTTTTGTTGAATGAAAGTGCTTTCGAATACTCTCCCATGTTGATATACACTCTACCAATGTTGTTGTATGAAGTAGCCAACTGAGAATGATTTGGAGGAAGAGTATTTTCTTGAATTTTAAGTCCTTGTTCGTAATACCAAATAGCCTTTCCATAATCACCCTGATCATCTTTGATATATCCCAGGCATACATAATAATGCGCTTTCTCGCCCTCATCAGATGTCTGTTCAAGTAATACGCTATAAAGTTCTTCAGCTTTATTAAAATGACCAATTTTAATTAATAATTTACCCAATCGTTGCCATCCTGTATGACCACCAGCTTCGTCTCGTATCCGATCAGTAAGTAATCGTAGTTGTTGATCATCATCCGATGTTAATTGTAACTCAACTTGATAAAGTTGATTATTATTGTCCATTTGTTTAATCGCACTTATTCGAAAGACAGTGTGCATTGAGAAGAGGATTTCTTCTTCTTTCTTAAAAAAACTCTCCTCCTTGATGGCAGCAAATGGTGTTGATTTTAAACGAGGATCAATGGAAATTAGAAAGAGAATGCCCACCTTATTTGGTTCTGCTGAGGCATTTCGAGCAAAATTGAGAGACACATCTTTAGTTTTACTGGTAGACAAGAAGTTATTAAATGACATAAGTCCACCTTTTGCTTTCTGAAGTTTTTCAAAGTCTGATTTCATAAGACCTTGCCCTCGATATATTTTAAAAGATTTTCCATCATAACTAGTGACTTGTTGTTCATGCAGCTGTTGAATTTGTTGATGTACATCACGTAGAAAGAAGCCCATATTAATCATTATATCGGCATCCATAAGTCGGAGTGCTCGATTGAGCATTTTGTAGGTAAAACACTCACGTGTATACCACCATATTGCTTTTTCTAGATCGTAATCACGTTCAAATTCATTAATCACTTGTAATTCAGCTGAATTGCCAGTAAAGACTTCGCGACAACAAGCTGCTAAATTCTTGATTGCCTTGCGATCATATTCGATATCAAGGATAATCTCCTTGAACAGCTGAGTATACATGAAAGTTGGCTCCAACTGATTTAAATCCTTAGCTGAGGCCATTTCATTTACCGCCAGAAAACTTACAGTAGCTGAGTCCTGGTCGCATTTTTTAACCGCCAATTGTAATACTTGGCAAATGTCTTCAATGTTTGTATTGACACCTTTAATTTTTGTCCAGTTCTGAGTCCATCCCTCATGTCTTGATTTATCGCCACAGAAGATGTAAACTGCATCTAACTGTGGCATGTCATGAATTTGAGGAACCAAGTGTTGACCTAATGACCCGGATGTTAAAACAAAGGCTCTTTTATTCTTAATCTGGTTGAGTAGTTGGATGCACTGATCCGATTTAGTGCAAAGATTGACGTCGTTGACCACGTCCTTTAGTTGAGCCAGTGTATTATGGCAGTCCTTATCTGCTTGGTCGTTGTTGGCATCTACCCATATGAGAAGATAATTTTGTGCCATACGTTGCCGTGGTTGGCGAATATTTGATGATGCAGCAGCACTTTCATTTGATTTCGATCCGCTCATTCTGATCTAGTTGTAGTTTGTTGTTGAATGTGAACTTGTTAATAGACGTTGTTGTTTGAATGAAATAAAGGATCACCGTTCTTCTTTATATAGGTAGTGACTTGTTTTTTTTTCGATTTTTCAACGACTTCGAATGTTTGTATGTTTTTGTTGTCGTTCAAGGGTAAACTGCATCTAGTTAGGTTTGAAAATTATATTGTTCAGTGCAAGAAAAAGAACCAAACAAACAATTTTTTTGTAATATTATCGAAAGAACGAGCAAAACAGAAGCCAACAATCCAAATACATTTTATTATTATTGTTTCCAAATTTTTGTTTGCCTCTGTCTACATCATTACTGCAGTTTGCCGATGTATATAGGCGACATTTGTTCATTGAATAAAGGTAGAAAGAGCAATACAATTCTTTCACCAAATTAGTTTTTCTTTTATACTCTTTGTCAAACATCATATTAATGTTTGATGAATATATGGAAATTATTATGACGAAACTGATAAAAAAAAGCTTGCAACAGTATACATCCATGCACTACTAGAATTACGTTCATTACAAGTCATATTGCATGAAAATCTATAAAAAAAACGCTGTTAAAAGTATTTTGAGAGAATTATGTGCAGTATTCAAGTACTCTATATAAGACAAATAATTTCTTTTTGTTTAAATCAAGAAAACAAAAAGTTATTCTTTATTTTGAAGATATTCAGAAATTACGTGATCCAATTTAAGGGTTCTGTACACCTACCATTGGAAACACTGTTCTAGAGCCGTAATCAATTGAATGAACCGCTCAATGATTACCAAGAAATAATCGATAATTTTTTTTCCGCTAAACTCAATCGTTAAAACATTGAACTCGCATTTATGTTGAGCAAAGTGTCGGCTAACTATTAAAAATGAAATAAAATTTTGTTTAAAAAAGTTTTTTTTTATTTATAAAAAGATAAAATATTTTTATGAGATGTAAAAAATGAGTTTGAAAGGAAAAGAAGAACGAAAGAATTTATTTCAACTATTATCTATCGATATAATCTAACTGCAAATAAAAATAAAGAAAATTGAAGCATTATATTCGATTTTTATTTTAAATCAATAGATGTCTCTATTGCAATATAATTGATTTACTATATTTATTGTTTTCGTTCATTCAGATGCCAAACTGTCTGGATATTTGCTCTTTTTATTTCAATTAGTCTTTTTTATAATCGAAATAATTCAAATATCATTTCAGATGGTCAGATTCGTTATCGTTATAAAACATTCAAGTGGTCGCGACCTATTTCTGGCTGAGAAAAAGATAAAGGTTTACGGTGGAACATCGGCAGATAAAACTCATCTGTTGTTGGTTCAAGATATTTACCACTTAGCTCAATTAATTTTCATCTTTGTGCTGGGAAATGGAAATGATGAAAAGGTTTATATATGCGTTGGAATTGAAAGTAAAGTCGACGATGAAGTCATATATACATCGAAAAAAAACGGATTTGTCATCTTGACTATTCATCAAGCATTTAAACAATTGGTTGTCAACGGTTAGTTCGAAGAATTTTATTTAATCATTAAAAAGTTTTTGACTTGTTTAGATACACCTGGTGCTATTTTCGTTCCAAATCAGGGTGTGGATGTCGTATCTATTACATACCCACACCCATACCCTCGAGGTCAATTTTGAAGTATAGATTCTAGGCTTATATATTTATATGTATACATTTAATAGAAAAGGATAAAGAAAATTTCAGTTATTTTTTTGTTTTCCCTACATCCAAAATAACGTGATAACATGTAAACAACATGACGCAATCGAATATAAATATAGAAACTTTAAAGAGAGAAAAGGAGATTAGTCGACACTTCGAATAAACAAAATAAATATATAATTTTTTTTAGACGTCTTCAGCGATGCAAAGAATTGATGAATTAAATGATTTGATAAACTTATACAAAAACAAGTTTAATAGTAAAAACTATTATTTATTTCTTGCATGTCACGTAGCTTTGAGAAGCAGAGGTTTTATTTTAAAAGTAGGGCAAGAGATCGACAAATACAAAAATTATGCTGGCGGGAATATAAACATAAAATGTGGAACTATTGAAGATAACATGGTCGTAAATTTTCAATTCAACGAGCACGCACTGATTATTACATTTATTGTGAGTCATTGTAATAAGTTTTAAGAAATATTTATACTTTAATTTTAGTATAAAGAACTTGGGCTTCATCGAAAACAATTAGCGTATGATCAAGTTTTTAATGATGAGTAAGATAAGACTTTCATTGATTGATTAATTAGAGAAAAAATAAATTTTAGAAACTTCCTTAATCCGCGCCATTTAATAGAGAGTATCAGAAAAACCATCTATGATACTACTCATCAATCTCAAACAACATCCGAAACAACGTCAAATAAATTTTCTACGGAATCATATCAACCATTCCCAGACCGATGATTTCTAAAGCAGTATTTCACGAAATCTCCGGAAGAGCACGGAACCGGCCGTTTCCGTGTCGGATTGTTGCACCTGGATTATGAATTGCGTAGAAGATTTGACGAATTTGATAACATAAAAGCGGTTATGAGATTTAAAGTAACTTAATTAAAAATGATATCTTTAAATTTTTTTGATTTAATTTAGTACGGAACGTATGAAGTCTGCAAACAAATGGAATATAAAGATATTTACGATTCATCCTAGTAAGGAAAATTTTTTATTAAACCGTTACTTAATTAAAACTGAACTTTAGTGACTTCAAAGATACAAACTTACTAATTAAACAAATTCGAAAATCCATGCATGATGTGTTAAGAAAACCTGGAAAAACGCCAATTAAAAATAATTTTTAAACTATATTCTATTTTTAACATCTTTTTGCTCTGTATACATGTTAGTGTTAAAATAAAAACAGGCATCGCAAGAGAAGAATATATATAAGTCTTTTTTTTTCTTCTTATTAAATAAAAATACTTCAAGTAATGAATACAATGAATGACGTAAATAGTCTTCAGGCTAAAGGATTTTGGATTTTTAATTATCTTTCACTGATATCTCAACTCGTGCATGTTTTATCCTTATAAGAACTTGTTATTATGGTATTAAGATAATGAAACTGCTCTCACTCGTGACTTCATGTTTAAAAGCTTTTCTTTATTTTTTATAAGAAAATTATCTCGGGACATTAAACTCTGTAATTGTGATGTTCAGTTTTAACTGCAATTCTTTCCTTTAACAAATCTGACATGATATGTGGACAAATCACGTAACAATCGATTCAGACATTAAAAAGACTTTTATTGAAATAGAGTATTATTAATCTTGAGGGTGTGGATGCGGGTGTGGGTGTGAACTCTTTCTATTCCCACCTACACCCACACCTTATAATAGATTTCTGTTAATTGTTGAATAATAAGTATCAAAAATAGTTATCATACTTTTCGAAATGTTTGAAAGATTCGAATAAAGTAAATTCCAGTAAGACTACTAAATCTGAAATCTAAAGTTCTCAACTGCAAATTGAGTGAGAATAAATATCGATATTTAATATCCAAGTCCTAATTTTTGAATGAATATGCTTTTTTTTTCAGAAAAATCGAACAAAAGCTTTAGGTCAATTTTTTAAATTATAGAATCTAGGCATATATATTTAATGTTTATTCTTCACTTCTTTGTGTACTATTGACAAATCTCATTTTCTCTCTTTGAATGTTTTATGTTTACATCCGATTTCACGTGTTCTTTACATGTTATCACTTTATTTTAAACATATTTGGATATGCATCGCGTTCCACAATTAAAGAATCTGATGAGTGCTTACAAAGAAAAAATTAAAGTAAAACAACACAATTTAGTCTTGGTCGCTCATTACTGCTCTTATTAGTCGTGATTTTGCCCTGACACAATACAGCGAAATCAAAGCATTTCAGAATTATGAAGGACGAAATATAATTCTAAAGTATACGTCAATTCATAAAGAAATGTGTGTCAAAATTACTTTTAATGAAATAACAGCGATTTTACAATTGACAGTAACTTATTTTAATAATATTTTTGTAAGATTTTTATGATTTAGTTTTAGTATGGCAAGGGTTCATTGCAATCAAAACAAATGGTGTTTAACGAAGTGTTTGATCAAAAGAAGTAAGTTAAGATTTTGATTCATTGATTAATTAATTATGTAAAAAATAAATTTTAGAGAGTTCATTAATGCTCAAAGGTTTCTACAGAACCATACCCATGTCAATGATTTCTGAAGCAGTCTTACATGAATTCCTGGCTGAAGCCCACAGGAAACATACTGTTTCCATGAGATCTCCGGAACAGCACGCAACCGGCCGTTTACGTGTCGGATTGTTCGATCTGGATTATGAATCGCGTGGCACAGTTATTAAGTTTAATTAAGGACTACAAAAACAAAATTGATAGTCAAGAATATGATATATTTCTTGCTGGTCATGTAGCTTTAAGAAGCAAAGGATACGTTTTAAAAGAGGAGCTGGAGATTCAGAAGTTCAAGAATTATGCTGGCGGAAAGTTAAGCATAAAATATGGAAATATTGAACATAGTATGATGGTAGATTTTCAATTCATCGAACACTCACTGTTTATCATATTTAATGTGAGTCATTGTAATAAGTTTTAAGAAATATTTATACTTTAATTTTAGTACAAAGACCTTCCTGCTCGTCGAAAACAATTAGACTACGAAAAAGAAATAAATCAAAAGTAAGATAAGACTTTCATTGTTTAATAAATTCTGTAAAATCAAATTTTAGTGGCCTCATTCAAGCGAACATTTTATTGAACTCAATCAGAAAAACAATACTGAGAATAATAAAAACAGACAAATTGAACTCGGACGAATCAACAATACAAAAACTTTAGCTAAACAATGAACAACAACATATAAATTCGATATATATACATAAAAGACAAAATTTTGTACCATCAGTTTGTTTTTCATGTTCACTAAGTTTATCGGAAAGAATAGTATATTCACGTTCAACTTCCTCGATAAGGAGATTTGGAAATAAATTATTCCAAAATAGACGAGAAGATGTTAGTCAAATATATATTTGATAACGAAAAAGTGGATTTCAAATTTAAAGTAAGTTACTTTAACAATACTTGAAAAGTTTTTATGTTTAATTTTAGTTTAACAATGATCCGTCGCATTACAAACAGTTGATTTTTAACCAAATCTTCAATGAACACAAGTAAGTTAAGATTTTGATTGATTAATTAATTATCAGAAAAATAAATTTTAGAGAGTTCCTCGATGCTCAAAGGTTTCTACAGAATCATACCCAGGTCAATGATTCCTGAGACAGTCTTCTATGAATTTCCGGTCGACGCCTACAGGAAACATACTGTTTCCATAAAATCTCCGGAATACTATGGAACCGGCCGTTTCCGTGCCGGATTGTTGCATCTGGATTATAAATTGCGTAGAAGATTTGTCGTCTTATGTACAACTTTCACCTTGACTCTTTGTATTGCCACACACACACCCACACACCCACCCACACCCACACCCCGTTTTACTATTGAACACGCTGATAAACTCTTACAAGGATAAAATCACGGGGAAACAATTTAATCTGGTTTTAGCAGCGCATATGACTCTGTGTAATGTCGATTTTGCCCTCTCGCAATACAACGAAATTCGAGCTTTCGAAAATTACACCGGTGAAAATATAGTTTTGAAGTATACGTCACTTGATAAACAAGTGAAGGTCAACATTTCTTTCCATGATACATTAGCGGCAGCAAATATGAAATTTGAAGTAATTTAATTTAAAAAAAAATAATATCTCTAAATTTTTTTTATTTTATGTAGTATAAAAGTTTCAAAGTAGAAAAGCAAATCCAATATGCACATGTTTTCGATACAAAATGGTAAGGAAATTTTTTTTCTTAAACCCCTACTTAATTAAACTGAATTTTAGGGATTTCCAAGATGGAGAAACTACAATTAAAAAATTTAGAAAATCAGGTTACGACTTACTACATAAAAAGCCCGAATAAACTCGAGCTAAACACAGAATTAATCCAGAAAAAAATGAAGAACAATATCTTTTTTTTTGGAAAAAATAAAGAAGATAGCTAAAATTGAAATCATTTCTTTTTGAATATGAATTAATGTTGAAATCACATATATGAGACTTTGAAATTCATAGGACAGCCTTTTCACTTATTCTGTCTCTTCTGACATACAAAATAAAAGCACTGAATGTTAATCTTTTCATAAATAAATTAAAACTTGATGATAATAGATAGAATACTGACGATAGTTGCTTATTAATAATAAGAATAAATTTCCTTCATATAGATCATAAGGTAGATTCAGATTTCATTAGCATCAACAAATATTCTCAAACGTCAAATAACAAAAACGTCTCGATAATATTGATTCAATAGATTCTATATTTTTTGTATGTTTCAATAAGTAAGTATTTATGTAATCAAGAAAATTATGTAGATAATTCGTAAAAATGCATCTTTTATATATTTTGTTAAGAGAAATATTATTTAAATTTATTTATTTCATTCAGAATTTGTCGATATCAAGCATATATATATAGATACATAGAATTCTTTGGAACGATTTCACTGAGACACAAAGATAAGTTTTTCTGTAAATAATTTAAGAAGACATTGTAAGTAATATTTTTCATGTATTGTGAATGTGAGGACATTGATCATCCTCTCGAAATGTTAATAGGTTGTGGGAATCTTTGATCATTGACTATTTTATCAAGACTTTTCAATAGTTTTTTCTAACAAAAATGAGAAAAAGCAGACAATAAGAGAACTAGACAGGAAAATCTTTGTAGAATAAATATTATGAATGTTAACCACTCACAGATTATTTATACACTAAATTATCAAGATATTTGAAATATCTTTTCCGATCGACACTACTAACTAAATCTGAATATTCAAGTTGAGTGTCAATGCTAAAGATAGTTATTATCAGTTATCTTGCAAGAGAAAAAAACAAGTAAATATATCAAAAGAAGCATTCTGAATTTAATAATTGACGGTATATTTTAATATTAATCATTATTCATTTTCTTAAAATGTTTTTAAAAGACAAAACTGTTTGATCGATAGCTAGGATCAGTACTTGATGTGCACTCTCAATAACGTTTTTATATTATGTAAATAGTACAAAATCTTCCTCTACACAGTCTCATACATCTTTCTTTCAATATATGAGTGAATTGCAACTTTTTGGTACAATTAGATTTTTGGTGTATTTCGCTAATAACTCCAGTTTGCGCC